AACTTTACTCCATGAGAAGGGACAAACTGATTCTTTGATGAGTCAGCCTGCTTGTTTTTCTCTCCAAGTTCAAAGTCAATGAATCCTGGCTTTCTTATTACTCAGAAGGAATGGAAATGCGGAGACAGAGATATGTAGGGTATTCCTGTGACAAGTGCGTCAGTATTTCCCTTAGTACATTTCTCCTGTGGTTTTTGTGGTATCCAATATGATACACACCATTCTCATTGCTGAGTGCATTCAGTTCATCTGATGCCTGATGTCTGTCTCTTGTTTATTAGTTGCACTGTTGACACACTCCATAAACTTAAAAGCAAGGAATTTATCATGAAAACATACATGTTACCAAGAGTAATTCTGTGTACAGTGGTCAAAGAGTCAAATATCCTCAGTGGTTTTGTTTGCAATTGCTTTGCTGATGTATCAAAAAGGGTGGAAAAGAGAGTGGAGTCTGGTGGTATTCCGGACACGAGTCCTTCACAATCCTTCCTCCAGGAATCACCCCAAGTTCCCAGTACAAAGGAGGAACCCTTTGACTGTGTCTGTAGATTTGATACATCTGTGTATCTGACAAACCTCTCAGGTGCAGAAATTGGTATCAGGCTTGTGGGACAGACAAAAATGATGTCAGGAAAAAACATATGAAGTCAGTCATTTCAGAACTGTACATTGGGGATGCCAATGGAGCAGTGAAGCTACAGTGATATCTGGTGGAAAGGAGGATAATGGGGACAATCCTCTGGGATATATTGTTTATGCAGGTTTTGAACATGCTGTCCCCAGTTTTCTTGGTGGCATGAGAAGTGTCCTTATGCTTCCTGCTTAGACAAGGGGTATGTTCTTTGGGTGAGGGTACCGATATATGCCAAGAGAGGAAGGGCAGAGCAGAGCTGGTTTGGACCTGCTTCTAGTGGTCCTGGCTATAACATTTCTAAGAAAGAGCTGACCTATCATTAGCATTAGCATTTTAATGAAGCACAGAGCTCAGGCTCACAGATCCTGCAGGACCTCTGACTGTTTGCACGGACTATGTTTCACACATCTGTGGGTCTCAGGAAGGCTTGTCATCTTGGGCACAATGTCAGAATTAGAACACCTCTGGGTACTTATGAGGGCCTGCACATTGACAAGTAAGCTTCCTGGACAGCGAGGGACTTGGGAGCAGGAGGGAGAAACACTGACCCAGAGCTAATGGACTCTGAACGGACCTGGCTCTGCCACCAGGCATCTGCATCTCGTATACTCACCATCATGTTTCAGCAGTAGAACATTTTTCTGAAGCTACTAAATGTTGTGAGACAAAAGTCAACCCAGCCTCTCTCCCCACCTCTTACCTTCCTTATCTCCTCTACTGATTGCTGCATTGCCCATAGTTCCCTAGTCCTGCTATCACAGTAACCCCAAGGTAGTTCACATCCAGGAGGTGCTACGTGCCGTCTGCGTGGTTGAGCAGTGAGCTAATAAGCCTTTCTGGATTCCAGAGCACTAGGTATTGGCACAGGATGCTCAGAAAACATTGAAACTTCGCCAAAGGCAATGAGCCTACATAGACTTAAGCTTATAGATGTTCATATATTCAACTTAACATAGCCCAGAAACAGCTTGGCTATTTTGCTGACAAGGGTAATGCAAAATTGGTGAAAAGCACTAAACTGGCTAGCAGGAAAACTCCAGACTTATCCAGACAGACAGCGGTCTTTAGTTTACATTCTACTTCTTCAGTAATACAATAAATATCAAGTAACTCTTCTGGAACTTGAGATAGAGATCTGTCGCATTTTTCAGTCTTGGCATTAATTCTCTTTATTAAAAACAAAAATTGGGGAAAGAGGGACAGTTGAAACCAGAAAACTTGTCATAGATGGTTCTTCTGTTAGTGTGAAGGAAACTGATAATATCTCTAGTTTGACTTCACGTAGTTTGTGCAAGTGCTTGAATAGCAATAGTCCACAGGTTACTCTTTTCTGCAGATTGCAGTCTTCTGATTTTCCCCAAAGTGACTAGAAGCAGAGAACAGTTTATTATTCATTCAGTTTACTTTGCTATAGAGTACATAGCTTACTATTTATTCCTTGAATAGTCTTGCTCATGTTTAGAAAATTCCTTTATATTTTTGTATATTATAAATGTATTGGAACACAAAAACTATTTCTGTGGTTAGTTTATGTCCTCTGCAGGTTTGACCATGACATTTTAAATGAGATCTCAGTAGCCAAAGACCACAGAAGGGGCTCACAAGTGAGGGGGATGAGCCCCTCCCCGGCTTCTTTCCTCTGACAGAAAGGCTGCGTGAGCTGCCGACTGGAGTGTGGTGCATCTCAGTTGATGACTGTTTGTAGCTTTTGGATTACATCTATCCGATGAAAATAAGGGTCTGTGGGACTATATTTGTATTCAGTGATAGAAGGCCAAGGGAAGTATGCCTGTGAGGCTTTGATGCCTGAGATGAAGGAGCCCCGGACAGGCGAGATGGGAGTGAGAGGGAGGAAAAACCAAAATAAAATATGTCTTTCTTTTGCTATAGGGACTAGATGTGGATACTGTTCAGCATTCAGATAATAGATTTGTGTCACTCTTGGATGTATAATGTCTCCAAAAAGTTCAAGAGGCTGGGGAGGCAGAAAGGGGAGTAGGCTGCAGTGGCTGGGGTGGGTAGCAGAGCCGTGACCTGCATGCAGCTGGCAGTAGGCAGCAGTGCCAGTGACTGCTCTGCCAGTCAGTGCTGAGGCCACTGCCTGGAGAAGGGACGCTGATGGAGCCTAAATACTAACTCCCAGCTCACCGGGACACATCCAGTCCGAAATGACAAGCTGGGAGCAGGGTGCAGCTACTAGCTGAGGCAGCTGCCAGTGGCTGTCTTACCAACCATGCAGTGTTGAAAGTCAGATTCAGTCATGATGATTGCCTGGATGGCTATTTCTCCAAATAGTTAATCAGGTTTTCCAAGTTTATATGTTTTTGCAATTTTCACTCTTCCTTGGCTTCTCTATTTCGGTTAAAAAATGTGTAGTCTAGAGCCCTTTTGTTTAACTCTCAGCTTGGGAGCAGGAAAAAGTTACTCATAGCTGAGCTCTCTGCATATAATTTAATTTCTCTGATCTACGAACAGTGATTTAAACTGGTGCTGTTCAGGACATCTGTAGCAAAAGCACCTAGAAGCTGAATTGGCAGGTACAGGTACATTTTCTGTGAATACAAAAACCAAATATGAATGCTATCAAGAACGAGGAACTTCAGTTATTCTATGTGCACTTCAGTGTTATCTGTGCTGATCATTGTCCCCAGCATTTGGTTGTCTTTGTTTTCATTTTCACATGAACACAGTGATGGTGCTTTTAGACTGAGGTATTTCAGGCACTGTGTTACGCAATTTGCTCTTAAACAGCTGAGACATGGGTGCCTATCTGTCTATGACAAGGATTAGTTTATTGCTTATTTAATAGAGATCTTGAAAACTTGTTTATAACTGTTTACATACAATTTTTTCAACAATTCGGATTGCCTAAGGCTAAGACATGTTCCCTGTGCTTATGTGCACTGCATAACCCCCATGTGGCCTCAGGCAAATGGAGTGGTTAAAAGATTTATGCACTGTGTGGATAAACAAAATCTGGAAGAATTTCCCTGAGGCTTTGCCTGGATTGGCAAAATGGTGTGATTTTAAAACATGATAGTTAGTACCTGGCATTTCTCATATATGCTGGCTTGATAAGGAAAAACCTGTATGAGACAACCAGGGTTTTTTAAGAAGCCCTACTCAGGCATAGCAGATGTTCACAGCTTGCCCTGTCTAACTAACTTTTTATAGTACAGCAACAACTATCACTGAAATATGACCCTTTTTCTTAGCGTAGGCATAACCTGGCAAAAAAATATCTTGAAGATTTTCAAGAATTCCCCTGACCAGTCCATGCAATGAACATGCTTGACAGGTGGAGATTTAGGGAATTTCTCTTTCTGGGTACCGGGCAAAGAGGAGGCTGCCAAAATCTTCTGCAGGTTAGGATTTTGCCCTGACCCCTGTGGAGGATTTCCTGGAGCCCAGTATCAGTGGGAACACTTCCACAGGGTGAAAAATTGGAGGACTTCACCTGCAATGTGTTTCCCTTGTTCTGGTTTTGTGTTAAACCCACGAAAGCCTAGAATTTAGTGGAGTGGGAGCAGCCAAAGCATTTGGAAAGCCTTGTTCACTCTCACTCGGCTTGAAAGCAAAGTACAGCGAGCTATATATAGGCTGTGTGTATGCAATGCTGATTTCTCTAGGGAAGTGATTGATTTTCTTTCCATATAAACCAGTCACTTGCCGGCTTAGGCAGAAACGAAAGAAAGATGCTGGCTTGGCTTCCAGCACCGGAGAGGAAATTAATTTTAAAACAGCCCCGTCCGTGACACCAGCACCGCCGTCCCTCCCGCACCATCTCGCTCCTGCTTTCTCCGGGGGCAGCTCGGTGGGTGCCGACGGTGCCCGGGATGGTCGCGGGCAGGATTCCCCCATCTCCCGGCGGCGGATCCGGGAGCGGCTGGCAAGGAGCAGGTTTCCCGCTCAGGAGTTGCAGCCGCCCGGCTGTTCCCGGGAGACTGACCGTCCCAAGGACCCTCCTGCTGCTCGAGGCGGGGCAGCGTTCCCGCCGGGAGATCGGCGGCAGCCCCGGCCCGCGGGTGCCACCCGCTGGAAGGAGCGGGCAGGGCCCGGGCCGGGGTGCACCGCGGGTCCCGTCCCTCTGCAGGTCCCCTGAGCCCGGCGTTTCGCCTTCTGCCACCTGCTGCTTCTGGATCGACTCCGTAACTCAGTTATCGCATCCACCTGATCTCAGAGGGACGGCATCGGAACGAGGAGCAGCCCCCAGTTACCTGCGAGGCGTTTCTCGCTGCTGTTCGGCTGCCCCTCACTTCCCACTCTCGGGATTACTCTGCTAGAGCACCTTTCGAGGAGCACAGTGCTGGGACTTTTGCACGTTTTAATGAAAAAAACCCCAACCCTTCAAACTTGATCTTTCCCTCTAGCAAACATCTGACGTTATCTTTTTGTGAGGTTCTTTGTCATCCTCGTACGACAAACCAACTATCACCCGTAAATCATTATCTTGCTGTTTCCAAATACATGAAGTACTATTAATTTTAATATTTGCTTTTTCTGTATCAAAACCAGTTTACCATTCACATACAGTAACAGGAATATATAGTTTAAATTTTCAAGTGGTTTTGTTCTCTGTCTTGTACATCTCAGAAACTCTTTTAGGTCTGTGTTTAGGTCTGCTGGTCAAGACTTCTTTTCCCACTGTGTTTAGCTTTATTTATTACTATTGAATGTCATTAGCTTCTTGTCTATATTTACTATCTATTTTCATTTCCTTCTCTTTTATAAATAATACCCTTACTGTCAACAGGTACATCTATTTCCCCTTTGAAGTAGACTCTGCTTGTGTGGTTTTCATCACTTTACCTCCAAGAATATGAAGTGTGAACACTTCCCAGCTCGTCTGATTTAGAAACTAAAGAGGTATGGTGGCGGCATGGTAGTGATTGCCACTTCAGGGAACCAGCTAGGTTTGTAATCATTTGTCATATGAGATCCTTCAATCCATGGCTTTAACTTTTTCATAGTACAGTCAAATTAGCTGAAAAAAGAATCCTGATTATGGTATACTGTACTGAATCCTGTAGATTCGATTACAGGGGAAAACTGTTGAGTTTGACAGTGTAATCAGCCACAAACCCACCTACTTCTGATCAGGAATCAAAAGGGGTAAGATAAAGGTTGTAGACAGAAGCCTTCAGACCTGTCTTTTGCTGTCCTGTGTTCACATTCTGGAAATCTTCAGTAAGATGAAATGATTTGAGGAGCACCCTGCTGGCCAAAAGCAATCATCTAGCACAAAGTTGTTTTTAACTCAGTGGAACTATTCTTTCCCATTGAAAATGAGTTAGCAAATATATAGAGCAACCTTATTTTTAAGTGAAGTGTGTCCCCTTGAAAAGTATAAAAGTGTAGTTACGTCTCTACTTTTATATATAATTATGCTACCCTTTCTCTTTTCTTTCAGATCTCATGACAGTATTTGCTCTCTTCTTATCAAATGTACTGGTAGAGAGTTGCTGATATTTTTCTGTATTAGTTAAAAAACAACTTTGTATTGATGTGAGAGAAACTGACTGAATGAACTATTCTAACCCTTATCTTATTTGAACCAGTCTTAAGACCTGTGAGATCCTAACTCAAGGTTCTACATGGAGAGATAGGGCAGCAAGCTAAAATAGCAGAAATTGGCTTCAGAGCTAATAAAGGAAGGTATTTATTCACTCTACTTGTATTTCAGCCTCGGAACACATGCTTACTGATAGTTTACATAGGTTCAGAAATATCTTGGACAGATTTCAAGAAAAGTCTGTTAAAGATCATTATATGCAAAGATTCCACTACAGTCTCATGGAGTATCTGCCTCATGGAACAGTACATGCTATGAAAACATTGTACAAACTTACATTTATTTTTACTTTCTGCTGAACAGATGCTACTAGTCTTTTTTGTAGGGAGGATACTGGATTAGATGGAGCTGTGGCCTGATCCAGAATGGCTCTTGCGTTGCCTTATATGCACGAATCCAACTGTCTCTAAGGCTGTGTCCCAGTTTCTCTAGATATCGTAATACTCACTACCAAGTTCTACATGTAGCATACATGAGACACCACTGGGAAATTATTCCATATCAGTGTGGCTTTCAGCACATTTGGTCTACACAGAAAAACCTAGGGAAGCAGGTTGTCCTTATTCACTTGTAGCTCTCCCCCCCCTCTCCCTGCTCTCCCTCTCCTCTCCTCGCTCCTTAGGACTCAGCCTTGTGGGTTTTCAAACCTCACTATTCATTTTGCTGCTCATGAGTGAGACAGACTTTCACTTTCTTGGATGCATCACAGCATGGTTTAGTTTCCAGAATTTCAATGTAGGCTTTGAACTGATATCATTAAGGTGCTCTTAATATAAATCCAATTATTTTTATTGCCCATCAGTGCCTGACACAGGCTGCCCAGAAGCAAACTGCTAGTGCTTAACTCAGCTTCAAACCTGATTTGCCAATAGGCCTACAGCCTGAACATTTGAGAGGAACTTATGACTGTATCAGCATCTAATCAACCCACATATAAAGTTCTGTGGTGCATATGTGCAACAGGCCTCAGAAATAGCATTTTCTCCCACAAAATTTGATAGTGCAACTAGAAAAGCTTCTCTGTTCCATGGAGTTGAGTGTTTAGTTTAAGAGACAGAAATAGCACAGTTATGTGTAAATTAATTGACAATATTTGAAAACAACTCTGAAAGAATGAAGACTAGAAATCTTGTCTAATTAATATGTAACAATAGTCAATGATTTATTGCCTTTTCTATGAATATACAGTTTCTATTAGCAATATTTAGATATGTTTTCTCAGAAGTCCATAATTATTTATGTTTAATTATTTATGATTAAACATTTTACAAGAAACAAGGCACTAAAATGTACAGTTAGTCATCCTTATTACATACACTGTGAGTTTCAGTAATTCCCCTCGTTTAGACAATTATTGAATCTCTTCCCCCAGTAGTACTTTTTGTTGCATTTCCTACATCTCCAGCCATTAGAAAGTATACATTTTAGGGCCCTACTTTTGTCTCCTTTTACTCGATGTTTCTGTAGGAAAAACAAAGAATTTGCTATGAAAATTAGCTACACAATAAAGATAATGAAAACTCAATTTCTCACATTTCTAAGGACTCAAACATACTATGAGGTTTTTAGAGATTCAAATTGTAATATGGGTATTCTTTATTAAATAAAAACAACAGCACAAAAAAGATTTGTTTAAAGGTGTGGTTTCAGAAGCTACTTCCGTGCAGGGCAGAACCAGATTTGGTGGAGTTTGAGGCACTAAAATACTAAATCAACACTTTATAACAGGTGAGATGACTGAGCTGACACCATGCTAGGAAAATCAGATTAGCCTAGTGGCTGCCACTTAGCTAAAAAGGGGATCTTAAATAATGTATAGTTTTCAGTGTAATTTAAAAAGCAAACACCAGAAATTATTACTAATAAAAGGCAGAGACCACAAGAAATACCATCTAATACTCCATTAACATATTTAGTATCAGGAGTGTATACATTTCCAAGTATCTTATGACAAATAGCCCAGCACTTAAATGTTCATTCTGTTTTAGATCCTCACCAACTCTAAGCACAAACACAGCACAGTGTAATTTTACATATTGTTAAAATACAACAGAATCTAATGTCACATAATAAATACAACACAGTGTAAAGAAACAGTGGTTTCCTAATTATTTGACCACTTATACAAAAATGACAATGAGGAGTGCCCAGATTCAAGTTTCTCCTTGAGGTTCTCAAGCTCCTGTGCTGGCATCACTTTAGAGGTCTGGTTTTCAGTGCCTCTGCAGTGATCCTGAACCTTCTGAACACATAAGGAAAGATGTCTTTCAGAGATTTTCAGAGGATCCTCACAGTCACCTTGACCAAAGCAATTCAGGTGCAATTTCAGCACTGATGGAATATACATGCAAAACAGGAAAAGATTCTGCAGGATAACAAAAAGTGATGGTGGAGGGAGAACTTCACAGAACAACTCAAATAATACCCTGGGTCAGCACCAAATTAAAGTGAAAGTTTCTTTTTTCTCTTGGAAAGATAAGACCTCAAAACATGGCTAACATGATGTACCGCCACAAGATGGTAGTACTAGCAGAGATGGCAATAACACATTTGGAAACATATTATCTCCTAAAGCATTTCCACTTCTTAGGTATTGTAAAAATAATTCTGTTAAACTGCATGATTTCTTGGAAAAGAGAGGTTCTTACTCAGCAACATAAGTCACTCAAATATCCAGGTTTACAGCAAACGTTGTAAATACAGGAGTGCTGCTGGATGGTAGTTGGCAGTAAAGCAGCTTATACATCTTGTGGCTGAAAGTTCAAAAATGCAACCCCAAAAAGAAAGGCGTGATTAGGACTATGCCTTCTAGTTCTATGGGAAGCAGAGCAGACTGGAATTTCTCTGTATTTGCATTGATGGATTATCAGAACTTTTTTTTTTTAGATACTGCTCTAAAATCTCATAACATCTGCATCTTGAGAAGATGAAGATCAAGTCTGTCATTATTTAATCCTTGATTCTTCAAAAAAGAAAAAAAAGGTGAAAATACAAAATATTAAAAAAAGATATTTTTCATTTGGTTGAATTTATGTATATATCTAAGTGGGGATGGATTAGCACAGTTGGCTTTACTTTTTTTTTTTTTATTTAAGAATGAGAACTAATTTGATGGAAGTAAAGATTTTACAAGGAAGAAAGGTGAGAACATACCTGCATGATATACCAACCATATCAGTTAACAAAATCCTTACAGAAAACTGCTTCTGTCAGTTTAACACACTGAAGTTGCGGTTATTTATTGTTCTTGGTAGTTGAACACTGACAGGGCTTAAGCTGTCACATGATTTGGAAGATTTTAATGTACAACAATTTAAAAAATCGATTGCTTACCACCCAAAGCCATTTTTACAGATCACTAAAGTAACCCGCTGCTGTTACTATGTCCTTACTTGTGTTTTAAGTTGTGAGAGGATGTGGGCTTAAGTTTGCTGTGCCGTGGGACTCATGTCCATGCTGTGCGTAAGAGAAAGGTTTAGGTTTAAGCCAGTCTTTTCCCATGTCTGATTTTCCCAGCCCCTTGACAGCGCACTTCTGCTGGATTTACAGAAGTAGAGTTGGTAGCTATGGCATTTGGACCAGAGTGAGAGCAGACATCGATACTTATCTACCAAGCCCATGACACCATGTAAAGGAATGTGTTGGCTTCAGTGGGATTGTGGAAGTATAAATTAGAAGCATGTTATTTATTTATCAGTCTACAAGAGGAGTAAGAGCAAGATTTACCCCAGAAGACGGTGTTTTAATTGGCTGAGATAAAGCACTGTTATGATCATTTATGATTATACCTCTAAATTTGCCACTTTATCAGTGTTACAAGGCACATCAGTGACACATTAAGCAATGATGTTTGTTCCTGCTGGCTAAAGCTCCTTACTTTTTATTCAAATACATCCACCGTCACTGATTTGGTAATTGGAAAAGATGC